CTCTCGATATATTAAATAAGAAAATTGATAATTTTGCTTTGATTTTGGATCGGGTTTAAAGCAGTTTTCTCTGAAATTGCCTCCTAAATGACTTTTTAATCAATATATTTTCTAATTGCTTTAGCAAAATTTAGGAGAATAATGTACAGTACTTTATATTTATCATTATACATTCACGATACTTATAATTACACAAAGTCTTATTTATTTGCTTATTACTTTGTCTGATGGTTTTTACTTACAGTATATTCCTGACTTATGTTATTTCCAACACTTTTTTATGCACTTAAAACTAATTTTCGCTTTCTGGTATGAAATCGCCCCGTTTCTAACACCGGTTTAAAGTAACTTTAAAATATATATCTAAAATTTATACTTGAAATTAACTTTTAAATATTAAATAACTTATATTGCATCGTCAATTAAAAGAAATAATAGATACACTATTTTTTCATTTTATAAATTTGTCATTTAATATTAAAATAGCATTTATTACACGTAAATAAAGTACGATTTTGCAAATATTGTTTCTTATCTTGCGTATATATTACATTAATGCATCGGATCAATGAGAAAGAGGCATGGATGCTGGACCAGATTTCCTAAATCTTTTCGCAGATTGCTATCATTTATATCCGAAAAGTATCGAAAAATATTAATTATTATTAATAAACTTTTTAAATAGTATCCTAACAATAAAATTTCTAATAATTTTAATTTATTATATTCAAATATAATCGGAAAAGAAATTGTGTTATCCACAAGTAAAGGTGTTTTTGACGATTGCATGATACTTATTAGAACTTTAGATGATATTATTGTTCTGTTGTTATATGACCTTGATGGAGAATATTCATTTTTATAATGAAGTCTGAAGCAACGGTCTCAAGAAACCATAGGTCGATTAAGGTGCAGGAGTCCCATTGCTAACGGGTTTTAATTGTCACTCTCACCAAATGGTGGGCCTTCAACCATGAAGCCTCCAGGCATTCGCCTATTGGACCATTCACTTTCGAACGTTTTGCGTGAGAACTTTGCTAGATTTAACTTTTTCTCTACGTGACCTCTACCGTCTGGTCACTGTCCTTCTATTCGACATGCGAATTTTAAATGCTTAATTATCGAAATTAATAATTATTATAACTTTTTATATAAATATTTTCCATTCGAGTTGAAAATATGCGGAAACAACTTTATAAATGTGAAAAATTTATATTAGAATTTAAATTATGTATAAAATCGTCTTCTATTCTTACTGATACTTATTTAAGGTTAAATGATACGAGCTTATTTGTTATATATCGCTTTAATTAATATTTTATGTATTTTACATACTCGTAACTTGTATACATTATAGCCTATACGGCTCATTATCCATTTCTGCTTTCGTTACAAGATAATAATACCCTATAAACAAGTAGATACTATTACGAATTTAGTTATTTCTTCCGTTATTAAAAAACTTTACGGATTTTTTTCTTTGAATAGAGTCGGTAATAATTTAGCAGGTTGTCTATTAATGAAGGATGTCACGCCCAGTTGCTTCCGGTCAGATTAATTGCTGTTGTCCAAGTTCGTTGAAAGTAGATTTATGTTAATTATGGGGTGGAGTTATCCGTGGGAAAGGATTCGCAAACAGGAAAGTCTCAGAAAATTTCGTAGAGGACCAACTTCTCAGAATAAAAAACTTCGACAACGAGTTGAGAGATTCCCTTATTTTCAAATATTTAGACTACATCCTATTATAAAAATCGACCAAAACTAATTTATTGATTGTTGTTAAGGGCAGGTCGAGTTCTACACGAACGGTTATTACTTTTTAATAAAGTGCATAGAATTAGTCTACCGGTTTCGGTTGAATGATACAACGCCAGTTAAAACTGTTAATTAGGAAGCCTAGATACCTTCGTTATGCCTTGTTTGCTGTTAGATGCCCTTTAGGAGTGATTCTTGCACATCACCTGCAGAACTCAATTTTCCTAATTTTTTTACGAGTACTAAATACTGCAATTTTTTATTGGGTTTCAATTAATGCATTATTTATTATCTAAGAAGCATTTAAGAGTTGTTTTTTTCCTTACTTTGATTCAAATAACACCACTAGAACTATTTAAATCTCATGTTTGAATTTTTATTTATGTGATTTGTATATTTACATCATTAATGTCTACACAGTTTTTTTTTTTAAATTTGACAATAGGAATAGGGTATGTCAGCCGAAAATCAAAATAAAGTCACGCAATCTTTCTGAATATTCTATCGATATTTCTTTTTTTTTTCGTAACTATAATCAGAATACAGATTAAAAACTTGCTCTTCCCATGATGATTTCCATTTGAAAATACTTTTATATATAAGAATACAAGACTTTTCGGTTCTCTTATTATTTATTATTACGATATTCGTGTTTTTTAAAATTTTAAAAAGCTCTAAAATTTCGGGAAATTAAGCTTAATTTCTCCAATTATTATATTTTATAAACTTATTATCAAATAAAAATGAAAGATAATATTTGATTCTTGATATAGAAAAAGAGAATTATTTATAAGATATTCAGAAGAACACGAAACAAGTGGGCAAGAATTCAAAACTTTTCTACAGTATTTATTTTAAATCACGTTATCGTCAAAACTTTTTTCTCTAATGTTTAAGTTATTTTATTCTTTTTTTTAAAAATTCTAAATGATCTATTTGCATTTCTATTTTTAAAATGTATTTTTAAAAATTATTTATAGATTAACAGTAGACTATACTTTTTTAGTTTAAATACATGCATAAATGTTTAAGATAATATTTAATCGTTTAACGTATTGTAAATTAAAAATTTTTTTATTTGATTCGTTTATTTTCAATTATATTTTTGTAATTAAAGTTCAAGCTGTCTGTATGTTCGAATTCAAGTGAATTGGTGAGGCATTTTGTAGAATTCATAGTATCTAATGCCGTATCGTATTTCGTTGGGATAATTTGAACATCGCTTTTAGGAAAGAATGGAAGACCGTAGACCATGTGCATGCATGTGCGGAGTTCATTCTGCCATGAACACTCATGGCTGACTGAGACAAAGGTATATACTTCTCCTGACCCACTACAAGCGTGTCAGGAGGGTTAATATCTATTCTTCCCCTTGACTGTCACGAAATCGTTGTGGTTTCAATGGTGAGGCAGGAAGCAACGTATGTCTCTGGAATACGGAATGACGTTTCGATAGCTATTTGTTCACCTGACCTTCGCTATCTCCCCGATTGTGAGTGGTATTAAGACAGTTGTCGCCGGTTGCTGTTGCCGAAGGCTATCTGGTCGTTTTATGCACTCCTATTAATAACGACAATTCTTATCGTGACAGAGACGGTTGCAAATGAGATACAATGCGTTACTAGCTTATTTCTACTTAAGGGTGTAACTAAGTGCAGTGGCTCGATGTTAAATACCATTTAAAAGTCTTTTTTGTTAAAGCGTTTCGGTTAATTAGATGTGTTCATCTTTCTACCATAAGAATGGTGGTTTAATAATCAATAGAATCGATTCATTTAGTAACATTGTTTGACGCCCATTCACGAAAAACGAGATTTTCGTGGATCATAAACAATTTCCTTATTGGATTCTTTAATAAAGAAACAGATTTATGAGTTATATAGTCCTATAGCAAACATCGTTAAATATATGATACTAGTTGTGAGCAGGAAAGGGTGAAGAACAATTTATCTTTTTTTTCCCTCCTCCTCCGAAAATGCCAGAGTTGAGAGGAGGTGGATTCAACGAACTAACGTATTTATGACCCGTTTTGTATGGCGATTAAATGTATCTTATAATACTGCAACGAGATATGTTCGTACAATTAAGCCGTTATCTTCAACTTTTTAGGGCGGGGATTAAAGAAATATAGAGAGTTCACTTCATCTTTAGTGGGGTATGTAATATTAGTGTCAAATGATGTCTTTGTTTTTTATTACATCCATTCATTTAATCTCAAAAATTACTTCAGAAAAAGAATTTAGTAATTATAAGTTAAATAACGCATTTCTAACGCTAGCTTATAAAGATGTTACTTTTTTTTCCTGTTATTCATTTAGATGTTCACTTCGTTTAAGTCAAAAATTTGATAGATGTCCTGTTATGAGAAAAATACGGCCCACTTAACCCGTGCGATGCGGATGAAAAGCAGATTTCCAAACAATGCTTGAAGTCATTAAGACATATTACCTGTGGAGTCAATAGTAATCGACTTTGCCGTATTCCATCATATTGAAGGTAGTTGCTGTCAATAGCAGCACGCTAGCTATCAGATTTTCTATGTTAGAATGCAAAGAGAGTTGTTTTATATTCATTTTTTTTTAAACAAAGACTTTGTGACCTTCCTAACAAATACGCGATCGTTTACGTTATAAGTTATCTTAAATTATTCTTTTAACGAAATTATAGAATGCTTTATCATCATAAAAGATAGAAATAGTGTCTAAAATGTTTGTTGTTACGAATGTAAATGCGATAATGAATCTGTAAATCAGTTTTATTACTTGTAAAAATGAGTATAGTTAGAAATATATCATTCATTTAAAATGAGTCTAATGAAGATTTTTTCCTTGTTAGAAGTCGCTATTATATATGTTAAGGATCTCTTTTATGGCTATTCTTATATTTTCCAAAAAGGGTAAGTTCCTTTACAAATGTGAAACGCGGAAACTTCCAATGAATGGCTTGGAGTTAACAACAGAGTCGAAATTTCCGTCTAACTGGTAAGGCGACAACTAAGTAATATTTGTGGCGTCATTGTCGTATTCAGCCAGGCATGTCCTGAATAAGTGGGTTATTAATTAAACTAGTTATCTCCAGCACGACACCGTGTCCTTCATTTGTCATTAGACACGTGAAAAGGCGTGGTTTACGACTATTTCTTACGACGCCAATTCATTTAATTTTCGAAACATACTTAAAAGAATTCATTTTCGTATAAGGTGCTTAATAGTGTTATGAATTCATCAAATGATTTTCTTTTTCAGGTAAATCGTCCATTGACAATGAAAAAGGAAGGAATTCAAACTCGCAATCGTAAACTATCTTCGAAGAGCAAGAAAAAGAAGGGATGCGGGATCGCTATCCCAGAGTGTATAAAACCGCTCGATAAACCGTTTTCCAGCTTCACGCCTACCGGACAATTAGCATCATCAATGTCCTCGATGTCGTCGATGTCTGTCACCGTTAATCATTACATGCATCAAGGCAACATGCCCATATCCATGGCAGGTTCGTTTGTAACATCGCCACCAATGCACATGAATACCGCACCCGGATTATCCACATTACCGCTTCCATCCGGAGGACCTTTGCAACTAGGTACCGGTGGTCTCGGACTCGCCACTTCCAACAGTATGGTAGGTGCCATGGCCTGACTGATGCCGGAAAGATTGCATCACTTAACATGATGCGATTGTGATTAATAAAGCTAACGACTTATAAGTGGTGGTAAAATAAACTTGTGAATGAATGTAACGGACTCCTGCAAAACTGAACAATGCGGGTCTCTTTCTTCCTACCACCGGCAACATATACTGACGATGCCATTTGTACATCCTCCTCCGTATTAATTTCTTCTTATCGAAGACATTTCGTGTTGTATGTGCATCAAATCTTCGTAGGTCTGGAAACTGACGACAATAGCAAATTTAGCATCGTCTTCCTCACACTTCAAACTTTTTTGAATTTTTTTTTTTGTTTTGTTTTTTGTGAATATGACCGTTTATGGAAAAGGGGATTCTTTCGCTCTATAATTCATGCTTTAACAGAATTTTTCAAAAAAGTGAACTCGCATCTCTCAGTGCCAAAATCAAAGAGGGACTTTTTCATTTTAGTCTATCGATTGACATTACAACGAGACGGGCTGGACTCGCCCAAAAAACTTAACCTTTACGTCGACGGGTGCCGGTCAGAACCTCATACAAAATATTCATTCATTCTTACTATTTTTCCTTCTCGAAATGGAAGTGACAAAAAAAAAATAACAAAAATATAACAAAAAATCATCCGTAACGATTTAAGCGAAGACGATGGAGACGGAATAGCGTGTACATAACTATTACTACTGGTGTCGTAGAACTATTGTAAAAACTGTCCTCAGTCGTCCACGTTTCTATGTAGGCCTATAAATGCATGTCTTTAGTGTTCGATCGCTAATAACTGATTTTTCCCATTTCCCCATCTACGTGTCGGGCTGATGGTTTTCTTTTTTGTTTTGTTATCTGGTCGCCCGCCAAGTGGACAGAGGAAAGCGGGATACAGGGACAGATCTCTTTACTTCGGAGACAGGGAAGGTGATTTTTCAAGATAAATACATCTAGAGGAACGCTCGCTTGGAATAGAGCTTTTGGATGCATGTTCTGCTTTTGTTTTCATGATTTTTCCATACTGTTCGTATGTGCGTTTGAATAATATATAGTGAGAAAACGAGATTTCATTCAAGGCACGGGTGTAAATAATGTTCACAGCACGGAAATAAAATCATGTAGAAGGATTGTCTCCCATTTTTGCAGAATTGTTTGATTCTACTCTTTAAAAACTCTCAGTTCATTTTTTTTTAATTGCTTAAATTATTTCATTTCAAAATTAAACAAATTTCCAAAAATTATTTTATTTGAAGTTTGTTTTATTTACAAGAGATTAAAAAAAAAACTATTCAAAAATGTAACTTAATTAACCAACCAATGAATAAATATGTATATTTTTTTCCCTTGGTAATATTTCTCACAAGTAAATGTTATTTTTTAAAATTTATCGTTTAATTTTAAAATATTTTGAGTATAAATTAATAATAAATTTAAGATTCAACTCATATAGTCTGCTATTACTGACACTTACAAGAAATTATTTATTACTTTATAAAAATTTTAAAAAATAAGAGATTAATTATAATAATAAATTTTATAAACGTTTTAAGAATTTAAATGATATTTAATTTTTTTTTTTAAATAAAAAAAAATTATTTTATAACCAAAACGAAGGTCGCAATTAAAATTTACATCGACAAACCACGCCTGCTTCGATCAAAACAAGCTAATCACAAGCCAACACATAGATGGACTATTAAAGGAAATTTTCGTGCGAATTGAAATTAAATCAAAGAAAGTACGACACGAACAACGATTGTGGCTCAATGTCGCATTGGTGTGACGTGTTTGAAGGACAGACGTGATCTGTCCTTTTGTGCATGATCAATTCACAATTTCACCCAACTTTCCTCTGCTTGAAAAACTGCAATTATAATAAATAACAATACATTATTTACTTTTCTTTAATAAACATTTAACAATTAGAAACGAGAATTTAATTATTTAATTATTACACTTCAAAAAATAAAATAAAATAAAATAAAAAAATACTCTTTATTTGTGATAAAAGTTATATAATAAAAAATATAAGAAATATACTATACAAATTTACAAATTGTTTTTTACAATAAATTTTACATGACGTCTAAGCAATAATTTTGATATTCTAGTATATAAATTATTTTTAAAATGTAGTTCATATTCATAAATGCAAATGCACAGTTCACATTTATCAAAATTTTAATAATTATAGTTAATTTATTAGTAGAATTTTGCATTAATAAAGTTAACTATATTCTCACTAAGAAATTCCATAAATTTTCATTAAATTAAATTATAAAAACTGTAATTATTTTTTTTTTATTAACAGTATATCAACAAATAACTTTATAAATAATAAAACTTCTTTAACAAAAATTAATATTTATTGTCATTGATATAATTAGATACAACAATATAATAAGTAATTTTGGCTTCGTGCCTCGGTTATATATAGAAATTGTTTACAAATTATAATTTTGTCTTAATTTCGGTTATCTACAAAATAACGTTTAAACAATATATTAAAATTTCGACAATATTAATGAGTTGATACTTGAAATTTCACGAAAATTAGCTCAATTTATATTAATATTTTAATAAGTTGATGCGATTAAACAACAAACTACTGGTTAATATAACAAAATTCAAGAAATCATTGATTTATTAGAAGTTTTGAAGCCCTGAGGTAATTGGAGGAAAGCCAAACGTTGATAGTCTATTCAATTGTCATTGCTAATTAATGAATTATTTCGTTGTTGGAGATAGACTACACCTGTATAAAAAGACAATAATTTATACGATTTTATTTTTTCTAAAGCTTTTTTTTCCCGTTCAATCCCCCTTCCTTTTTTTCCCTTCCAACGTAATTTATTAAAGTTACGTACGGTCAAGACGAGATAGACTATATACTACATTTACTTCTTATAAAAATTATATAAATTAATTAAAAGCAATCACTAGAGAAGTAACAATACATTCGATGAGAAATAGTTCATTGAACTAAGATATAAGTACTTTAAGTGGTAAATCTATCAACTGCTTAACAAATGAGAAAAAATAACACGTGTTTTTTTTTTTACATTTAAGTATCGCGTTTCTTTCTTTATTAATGTTTATAAACATTTCTCTAATAAAGAATGGAGTAAAGTAGTCGACCTATTAAAATAAATATACAATACTTTCAATACGGAAATTAAAATAAATTTTTATATAAGTGACATCCGATACTTAGCTTTTCTCATTCTATTCTGATGTATGTTTATCTCTGAGAAAATGTGGCTAAGATTTGAACAGTTTTACGATAGTAATTCATATCATAATTATATATCGTGAGAATTAACAATATGACTCTGACCACACGTGATACGACATTAACACATGACAGCCCTCTTGCATGCGAATCTTTGCAGAGTAACGATTAAAAGTCTCCAGATGCAAAAACTATGACATTTAAATGCCAACCGGTAATATTAATCATTAAGATGGAGGGTAAAAAGGATTATATACAGGGAAAAAAAAAACCATTTTACTGTTTGTAAATTATAGGATTGGTTTTTTTTGGAAGGCTTTTAAAGCACGGGGTATTTTGTTTTTTCGATTTAATAAGTTTTGTAGCATTAAAATACATTACAAAACAATAAAAAAAATTAATTGAAAAATGATCGAAATAAAATGTTTATGTTTTTGAATTTAAATTATCGACTAGAAAAAAAACGAGTACATAAGAAAGGTTGTTATTTTAGTCCGTATACGCTAAGGTAAAAGAGGTTATGAAGTGATAATTGCAGATCTTTTTAATGCAAATAAAACTAGAGAGGGGAAAAAAAACTCACTCTGCTTCTATTACTGGATCTATAAAGGTAATAAATGACGATGCATTTCTCGTTTCTTTCATATCCTTTTCTGTAATTGCAGTTTGAAACAATGATTTCATATTACGCATGAAAAAGTTAATTAGACAAATGTGATAATGCATGCTAATTGTTTTAATGAAGTCGAAAAGAAAAGTCTATACTTAACAATGATTTACTGAATTAACATATATAAATATAATTTACTTTTTTTTTTCATTTGATATTTGCAAACAAAGAGAAAATTGATCTCGTACGTTTCTGCTAACAAATAGAGTCCATCCGCTATTATTTAAATTGTATAAAAACCGATTTGAAGATTGCTTCAGAATTAAAACATTTATTTATAACACGATATTCCGAAAATATTTTAAATGCTGTTTTTTATGATATAAAGTTATACGGGCCATTTCAAATATGGGGATATTGGGAAAGGAAACCCGTGGGGAATAGAAAAGCCTGAGGCAAAATTGACGATAGAACTCGAGTTCTTTCTACCACGCTCCCTTTAACCTTTAGCAAGTGCTAAAAGCCTACTTAGGCCCATAGGAGGAAAGGTATACTGACGATCCAGGAATAATTTTTCCGAAGGGAACCTCACTATTTTTATTAATTATNTCGATTCATTTAGTAACATTGTTTGACGCCCATTCACGAAAAACGAGATTTTCGTGGATCATAAACAATTTCCTTATTGGATTCTTTAATAAAGAAACAGATTTATGAGTTATATAGTCCTATAGCAAACATCGTTAAATATATGATACTAGTTGTGAGCTTATTTGTTATATATCGCTTTAATTAATATTTTATGTATTTTACATACTCGTAACTTGTATACATTATAGCCTATACGGCTCATTATCCATTTCTGCTTTCGTTACAAGATAATAATACCCTATAAACAAGTAGATACTATTACGAATTTAGTTATTTCTTCCGTTATTAAAAAACTTTACGGATTTTTTTCTTTGAATAGAGTCGGTAATAATTTAGCAGGTTGTCTATTAATGAAGGATGTCACGCCCAGTTGCTTCCGGTCAGATTAATTGCTGTTGTCCAAGTTCGTTGAAAGTAGATTTATGTTAATTATGGGGTGGAGTTATCCGTGGGAAAGGATTCGCAAACAGGAAAGTCTCAGAAAATTTCGTAGAGGACCAACTTCTCAGAATAAAAAACTTCGACAACGAGTTGAGAGATTCCCTTATTTTCAAATATTTAGACTACATCCTATTATAAAAATCGACCAAAACTAATTTATTGATTGTTGTTAAGGGCAGGTCGAGTTCTACACGAACGGTTATTACTTTTTAATAAAGTGCATAGAATTAGTCTACCGGTTTCGGTTGAATGATACAACGCCAGTTAAAACTGTTAATTAGGAAGCCTAGATACCTTCGTTATGCCTTGTTTGCTGTTAGATGCCCTTTAGGAGTGATTCTTGCACATCACCTGCAGAACTCAATTTTCCTAATTTTTTTACGAGTACTAAATACTGCAATTTTTTATTGGGTTTCAATTAATGCATTATTTATTATCTAAGAAGCATTTAAGAGTTGTTTTTTTCCTTACTTTGATTCAAATAACACCACTAGAACTATTTAAATCTCATGTTTGAATTTTTATTTATGTGATTTGTATATTTACATCATTAATGTCTACACAGTTTTTTTTTTTAAATTTGACAATAGGAATAGGGTATGTCAGCCGAAAATCAAAATAAAGTCACGCAATCTTTCTGAATATTCTATCGATATTTCTTTTTTTTTTCGTAACTATAAT